CGGTCAAAAGTCCGTATTAGCATTTGAAGCAAGATTGGTGCACAGCCTATAACAGACTTCTTTGAATAGAGTTACGTGGTATTAGCCAAATTGCTGTTAAAATGTTAACTCGGCTGCAGTGAGCTTGATCATAGACAGTTCCAGTTACCTTAGTTTGAAAGACAAATTTTGTGCACTTAATGAACAAAAGTTCGGAGTGTAGCTTGTTCACTAAGATGGTAAAGTTTGACAGATGGTCTTCTAAAAGAGATTAAAGAAAAAGAACATTCAAAGTCAGTACCACAGTTAAAGTACAGAAATAGGCAAAAGCACTGGAACTTTTATGTAGTAAAACTTAACAGAACACTCTCAGTGCTCAGCAGGCACTGAGAATAAGAATTTTTGAAACTTTATTGATAGCTACACTTTACTCATTTGTATTACTCAGTGCAGATCTGAAGAGCTGTGCAGGGTCAAAACTTCAGGAGAGGTGTTAGTTAACTTAGAATACAGACGTTTCAGTGAAGAAGAGTTCAGATAGCCTAGTAATTTAGGACTGGACTAGTCCTGGTCCTTAAAATACAGGATTTAGGTTTTGACCTGAGAAATCAGTGTTAAGTATTAGAATACTTAGGTCTTTCTGTTTTCAGATAATTTGCAAAGAACAGAACCAAGTTTGCTTTATTTTCAGAATGAAATACAGACCCTTCTTTGCAAGCTCGAGTGTTTATAACATTGTGCCTCTACATTTGGCACTCTGTGCCTCTATTTAAATGTGAAAACTGGAGCATTAACAACAGGCTGAGAAAACTGGTTTAAAAAATAATTGTTCAGTTATACTCAGTTCTGTCTTGAATCAGATACAAAATTATACTTTAAAACAAGTTCACCAGCCAGAGTGTAGCCCAGGATATCATTTATATTTGGATCAGTTAAATCACTAGACAATAGCATGTCCTATGCAAGACCTTCAAATTACTGTGCATACAGTTTAATATACGGAAATGTGTTGTGTAATTGCTTCAGATATACAAATCTGTTTCAGAAAAACTGAGGTATTAGAATCAAGAGGATTTCTGCTGCAAAAATGCTCCAGGCAGTGGCTCTTCAGAGTAATTTTTAAAAGCCTATTAACTTCTTATTGTTCTCTGTTAATCTTTTGCACTGCTGTGTTCATATTTCTGTATATTGGATAAACGTATGCATTTCATGCCAATAGGTTATGTCTGATGCTATTTGCTTTTATTTTATTGAAAGTAGCATCCCAGAGTTTCCATTGTACAATTGGCTGATAGTTTTATTGATTAAAAAGCCGTATTACCCTGTTCAGTGGTTAGCACAAATAACTGTGTCATGGTTTAACCCCAGCCAGCAACTAAGCACCACACAACTGCTCACTCACTCCCCCACAGTGGGATGGGAGGGAGGATCAGAAGAGTAAAAGTGAGAAAGAAACTTGTAGGTTGAGATAAAAACAGTTTAATAATTAAAAAAAAAAAATAAAAAGGAAAAGTAATAAAAGACAAGGGTGAACAAAGAGAGAGGAAAATAAAACGCAAGAAAAACAAGCAGTGCAAGTAAAAACAATTGCTCATCAAACAGCATACCCTCCCCTCACCCACACACACACACACACACACACACACACACACCCACCCCCCCAGTTTTATTGCTAAGCATGATATCATATTGTATGGAGTATCCCTTCAGTCGGTTGGGGTCAGCTATCCCAGCTGTGTCCCTTCCCAACTCCTTGTGCACCCGCAGCCTCCACACTGGCAGGGCAGTGTGAGGAACAGAAAAGGCCTTGGCTCTGTGTAAGCACTGCTCGGCATTAGCTAAAACATCAGCACGTTATCAATGCTATTTTTAGTACAAATGCAAAACATAGCCCCCTATAAACTACTATGAAGAAATTTAACTCTATCCCAGCCAAAACCAGTACACTGCTTTTTTAATTTGTCTGATTTTTGTCTTTGCAGGGTAGTGTGTAGGTGAACATTAACATCCCAGTTAGGTTGTTTTAATTGTAATTAAGGTTCTTGGAGGTTTTGAAAGCAAGTGAATTCCTTTCTTTTGGTAAAAATGTGTCCTTTACGTTGCGATAGAAAATAGTGCAAGATGGGCTCAGGCTCTGACGTGTTAGGGCCAACATTGCATTCGCAACAAACTTTGGCATGGGTGGGAGACCACTCTGCAGTAGCTAGCTTTGTATTTGGTAACTGAATTAGTGTTTAAATAATTGCCCAATATTTACATCAGACACGGCACTGGGTTGGAGAGTGCTGCGCACAAAGGCCACGTGACCACAGCAACTGCACACATTTAGAACCATCAATCTTTGTGTGTACCCCAGGCTGTTTCTTCAGAAGGCTCAGACTGATTCTTTGTGTGTTGACTTGCACCTGGGATACATGGGAAGAACACACAGGAAAGTGCTGTAGGATGTGAATTGCTAACTGACATCACACAGCGTGTGCAGCCTACCTTCAGCAGCTTTTTTTCCTAGAAACTACGTGGAAACAGGGTGGGTGAATTGTTTAGCCGTCAGCAGTGTCTTCCTGTGAGCCATCTTTGCAACTGGTCTTGATTAGCAGGGACTGTGCCAAGAGACGGGGGCCCGCAGGAAACCAGTGACCAGAGCAGGCTGCTGTCCGAACAAATCATCCACCTCTTACCTTGCAGCCCCATTGCTTTTGCGAAAGTAACGCTACTAAACATTTTGAATTCATGCTTATTGTAGCTGGGAAAAAAATGCCTCTGAAAGGAATATAAGATGCATGGTTTAATTCCAGAATTAAACTTAGTGTGTTTTTCATCTTATCTAGACTAGAAAGCTATAATTTCTTTACATGTTTTTTTAAATTACTTAAACCTAGTCTGTCAAGCCTACAGATAAAAGGTTTGCAGCACAAATCTGATTGATTTTAATGCTTTCTCTAGGGTGATCTTCATAGAAACTACTAAAGACTTCAAAGAATTCATTTTAGGCAAAATAAGTCAAATAAGTTGTTCTGATAAAGTAAAATGGATCCTTGTTCAGTTGGAGTTCAGCTTCAAGCTACCAATGAATGCCATAAGACCTATTATACCCGTCACACTGGCTTCAAGACTAAGCAAGATGTATCTTCGTCTGATCTACTGTTACTTCAGCTTAGAACTGGAATAACTCTTTCAGAGAACAATACAATCTGCTTCCACCATGCAAAAATTTACATTGAAAGATTTGAAGACTTACAAAAATCATGTTGTGATCCCTTTAATATACACAGAAAACTATCAAAGAAAAACTTACGAGCAATTGACTTAGATGATGCAGCTTTTCTAAGTGCCAAGTTTGGAAGACAGTTTGTACCTGGTTGGAAGCTTTGTCCCAAATGTATGCAGATAATAAATGGAAGCGTGGATGTTGAGTCCGAAGATCGCCAAAGAAGAAAACTTGATTCAGACGTATGTATATGGATCAGTTTTCCCACCCCCCCTAACTTCTGCAAGCTATTGGAATTGGGCTTCATACAAGTCCTACATAAAGAAATTGGTTTTTTAATAGAAATATGAAAGGGTGTAGTCTTTCAGATGTGTGGGAGTTTACTGTGTTTAAACCTTTACTTGGAGGACCTTAAAAAAATCCTCTTCCCTAATTGGATATTATAACCTTTTAAATTCAAATGATTGTGTCTGCTAGGGTGACTTACAACTTAAAAGTTTATATGAATACCAGACTGTTGCTGGTATTTTAGGCTGTTACTCAAGCCTTGCAAAAAACAAGCTCGTGCTTAAATTGAACAGTGCAAAGGTTACATCTAAGGCTGCTGAGATAAACTTCTGGTTCGGTCTCTTCAGTTTAAAAAAATCCACTTTTTCTAGCAGTTCATTACCAAGTGAACCTGCGTTGAGGTGAATTAAGTGTACTCTTATTGTGGTGTCTGAGCTGTGAAGGCCATGTCGGTTGTTCAGGGGCAGTAATGAACTGCTGTGGGAGGATAATGCTTTAAGTGCTGAGTTTCGAATACAGCTTGTGCACTGTTGGATGCATTGTTCAAGATGTATGCAGATAATCAGTAGAAGTGTGGGCAACCAAATCAGCAAGAGCTCATCCGTGTATGTCCTAGCAAAGCAGAATTGCATTCTAGGAGCTGTTGTCCCTCTCAGCCCAGGGGCTGTTGCCTAACTGTATTTTTCAGTTACATGTCAGTATGATTAGGAGACCGATAAGGGTGAAATTTGAAAGCATTGATTAAAACTGCTGCTATAAAGGTTGTATTGTTGGGTTTTGAGACTGGTACAGTTCTCCAGTATCAAAATTAAGACTTAAGTTGTTTCTCATAGGAAATCCAGTGCTTAGAGTTGAGGTCAACAGTTTACCTAAGTTATTAAAATATCCTGGCTTGACTGGACATTTTCTTTTGAATTTAGGTTCATATTTATAATTAAATGAGATTTTCTGTCTTTGTTCAGGGGCGTACAGCTAAGGCTTTAAAGTCTCTACAGTTTGCTAATCCAGGACGACAGACTGAATTCACTCCTGAGACCAGTAAGAGGGAAAAAAGGCGGCTGCAAACAAAAAATGCATCATTTAATTCAGACAGGTGAGCTGTTTCCTGTATTTCTATTAAATTTCACTTTAAAAAAGTAGCCTTGATGGTCAATATCCCTGTAACACTATAACATTTTCTATATGGATGTTTGCGTGCTTATGGATTGATTTTTTTTTGGTTTTGAGGATGTTAAAGCTCACTGTCGTTACTGAGATAAATAAAACAGAAGATAAAGTGTTAGCATAAAGTTCATATTTCAGGCAATTAGAATACAAACAAGTATTTGGTAAGGCATGACAATACTACACTGATCATAGATGAAGCTATTAATTTGCACATAAACTAAAATTCTGATAATAGGCTAAATTTTAATACAATAAGATCAAGTAGACTACACTTAAAATATTGGAGTTATCTTTCAATAAACTCGGTAGTTACACCTTGTAAACAAAAGTGTGCAAGTTAGCACCTTGCCTTCCTTTTAAAAAAGGAAATTACTGTCCAAGTTGGACAACACTAGATAACAAATTACCGCCTTCTAATGTGACTGATTTCTGATTTTAAAGTCACACTTTCTACAGAGGAAAGGTATACCCAGCTGAATTTTGTCTGTCATTTTCCACTAAAAGTTTGGACCAATTCAGTCTTGTCCTTACAGGAGAGTGATAGAAATCCCAGCTTTAACTAGTCGTACAGTATTTGTTAAAATGTGCAAGAAAGATCGTGTTAATGCCTTTTCCCTGCTCTCCACCTGAGTTTAACCTTACAAGACAGAAACAGACACTAAATGTGTTGCTCACAAACTACACCTCCTTTTCCCCTCCATTTGTTTCTTCTACTGAGTTTGGGCACAGGTTGCAATCGGGGAAATTTTGTTGAGATGTTAGGAAAACTCTTTCTGTGTCGTAAAATGCTGGATCAAAAGTGTTGTGGTATCTCCGATGTTAGAGCTGTTCAGAACTCAACTAGATGCAGCCCTAAGCAACCTAATTTGAGTTGACCTGTCTTTGAACAGCAGGTCAGACAAAGTAACTTCCAGAGGTCCCTTCCAAATGGAGTTTTTCTGTGATTCTGCAGTTTAACAGAACTGTTACAGAGATGGGTAATAATAAAAACATAAAAAATATTTCAAATTAGGATGTGTGCACCCTAAATGATTCTACATGACCTCCTTTGAATTACAGCTACGGAAAAGTAAATTAAGGGAGTGTTTCACATCATCTGAAAGGTAATCTAAATTTACATCACATAACTAAGAATATTCAGAAGTGCTTAATTCAAGTGTGCTGTTGAAGAAATAAAAACTTCCATTCTTGGAATTCTTTCAAAAGCACTATAGTGGAGATTCAGTTAGGTCTGAAAAATGTTGTCAAATACAGTTACATACATAGATCTTTTAAATTCACAGAGTATTAAAATGAACACCTGAAGAAAGCAAACTTCTGTCCGCAACTATTAGCAGCTTGGCATCAAAACAGGTGGATTTTTTAACATGGAAATAACGGTTGTTTTTCATTACACAGGCAAGTTATACCAGCCAAGAGTAAAGTCTACGATAGCCAGGGACTACTGCTTTACAGTGGGATGGACCTCTGTGACTGTCTTGATGAAGATTGTCTGGGATGTTTCTATGCTTGCCCCAAGTGTGGCTCCAACAAGTGCGGAGCTGAATGTCGCTGTGACCGCAAGTGGCTGTATGAGCAAATTGAGATAGAAGGAGGAGAAATAATTAGAAATAAGCATGTTGGTTAGTGTATATGCACGTTATTTATCCCAAGTATGTATATATATTCTGTGCTTTGAATAAACACCGCACATTCATCATTTAGTGGTTTAATGAAAGCCATTAGAATTTATCATAATCCACATGATTAATGTGCTTACTTTCACATTCATTTTCCGTATGATTATGGAAATCATACTACTCTCTCTTCACACTTCATTTTACCTTGTACTCAGTGTTGTTAGTCATCCAAGTAAGTTTTCATTGAACAGTCTTTCACTATATTTAAATATAAGGAGCTAAATTTTCATGTGATATATCCTGAGCCACTATCATTTCATGTACTGTTTTGTAGAGTGTACCATCTCCATGTATCCCTAATGTTTCCTCCTCTAGTTCAAGATCTCATGGGTTTTAATCTGTTTTGTGTGAAACACTCTAAAAGTTCTTAGTGACTTTACATGCAGTATTAATAAAACTCTCTCCAGTATTAATAGTTAATGCTGTATCTTCTATAGATTATCCCAGCTACATCTGATAAATTCAAGCCTGTTCACTTAAATGGATTCAAAGGCATTTAGGAGTTCAGATCCCATCTAAGTTACTGGGATTTAAGATCAAGTTATCCTTATGAATTCAAGCCTCACTGTTAAAGTGTTAAACTATCAAGGCATTGAAAAATGTTAAAATAGTTAATTACAGTACTGTTTTGTTGGTTTCTGTATAACACAATTGAAATAATTTTGCTGTATTTGTTATCAGTCTGTCATTGGACTGGAACTTAACAGCTCTCTCCCCTTTTTTTTCTTTCTGCTTGTTTCTAAGGTAAAGGTTTACATGCAGCTGAAATTAATTTGAGTGTCTGTTCCCAAACTAAGAATATCCGGATTACTACAAAAAACCCCAGTTGAGTTGAAATTATTTTTGGTTGAAACATTGTCTATCCTCAGAACATTAAAATTTTACCATATAACAAGATTTATGGAAAAGATATTTTATAGTTGAAATCTTAGTAACATTAAGTGTTACTCCTTGGTATTTTTGTTACATTTTGGATAAATTTCCTATTTCTGTGATAGACTTGGAAGACCTGCATGTTTAATGGGTCACATTTATTCAAGAATACCATTAACTATAGATTTCTGAAGACTTACTTGGTAAAGTTGTATAATCCTGCTGTTTGTTTATTTTCTTTTCTGACCAGTGTCATGAAGGTTGCATCGCTAAAATCCAAGGTTATGCTTTGAGTTGTACTGACACCTGCTGGTCCTAGTGAAGTGTAAGCATTAACTTGTACTATGTTTTTATTAAATCTGCTATGAAAATAAAACTTTTTTTTTTGGTCAGAGCATTGGCTGTTCTTCCAATGGATGTCTCTCACTGGCCTTGATTTCCAGCCACATCTATCACAAGAATCATCATGTGAGTTTTAGGGGAGCAGCACACTCTTTACACTTTTCCAGACAGCAACACTACAACTGAGCAATAGCTGTGGTTTCCCTTACATGCAAGTGGCATTTAATACACAGAGCATTTAATACACACATTTAATACATACAGAGCATGCTTACCCTGACACAGCAACTAATCTTGTGTACTTGATCCATGTTTGGAACTGTTTCATCTCTTAAGCAACCTTTTGAATTAGGTGAAAATATAAATAGATACCTCCATGAAAGTGAGAGGGGAAAAAGCTGGCCCAATCTTATATTTTTTATGTGTGTATTATTTTTGAAGTTAAACCAGACAGGCTTGCATCTCTTTGATTAATATGGCTTATCACGTAAGTCCATAGTTAAACTTTGGATTCAGTAACTGTTAAATCATTTCACTGAAGTGAAATGCAAGTCTACTAGTAGCTTAAATTGCCTAGGGCATCCCATTACTAGAACGGTATTTCTCCATCTCGTCTCTGAAAAGTTATTATATTCAGTCTGTCATTTTACAGATTGACTAGCAATGAGTCCTTTCCCAAATAAATCACTCAAGTTGTTTCCTAACAAAATGCATAGGACTGCTGTTTGACTAAAAACCTGCACTAAGTACTGGGTACTGTTGATTGCTGTAGAAGTTACAGGAGACTTAGGGTTTGTTTGGTTGTTTTTTTTTCTAGTAAAACAGGACTTTTTGGTGTTGGTTATTCACATGTCCTGCTGATGTATTTAGGGCATTTCCATTAGCTGCATTTCCTTAACATGCCTAGGTTGTAGTGTGTTATTAAGTTCAATAGTATGTTTTTATATACTTCCATGTTTCCCTCATCTCTTTTCCTGTTAAAAGACATTGTTGCAAGTCAAACTTTATCATCTTGCTATATTTAAAATACTTACAGCTATGGATGTCTCCAATTTTTTCTGTTTTTATAAACACCATACAAACTTATCCCATCAGCATAATACACAAGCTGTTATATCATCATCTAAAAGTGATTGTATATTGTTCCCAATAGCATATGTAGTTCCCCATCTTTCAGAATTACTCTACAACTAAGCCTATTAAACAGTATGTTCTTTTTATATAGCCTAAGGAAACAACTACTTTCCATAAATGCCAGAGTCCATAAACCAGGTGTAATAACCACTTTAAACTCTGTGTGCATTAAAGAGAAAAACCAACTGCAGATGTACCCCAGCTACCATGTTAAAACTTGTCTTTTGATATTAATTGCAAAAATTAATGCCTAGAGGAAGTTTATATATTCAAAAGACAGAAATCAATGACAATAAAAGAATCTGTTTTATGAATAATACATATCCCATGGATCAATTTGAACATATTGAAGAGATCGCAAGTCTGAAGCTTCCGTTCAATACATGTTAAGTACTGTTTTGGTTTCTTTCTCACATGGAGCAAAATTCACATCACATTTAGAACGTGATCCAATTTAACATCTAAAGTCAGTGAGAGTTCTTCTGTGGACCTTGTGAGAGTTACTACACAACCTTGTAGTCATATATGAGGCAGGATGTGCCCCTTTCTCTGCCCCTCCCCCTGTAGCGGAGTTGAAAGCTTCAAACTGCTAAAACATGCCCTGGGATGCTTTCTGTTAAATACTCCAATAAGAAGTGTAAATAAGTCAAGTAACAATATAATACAGTCAGGTAATTAACTTGGAGAAGGTGTTACAGTAATATTTTTTGCATCTATGCTACTAAAAGGCATTTATCTTTGGGAGATACGTTATAACCTTATCATTAGACACAGCATGAATTTGGTTTTCTTCTAATCAATTAAGTTCGTAACTCTTGGAAACTACCACAAGGAGACTCATTATAACCTTATCGTTAGACACAGCATGAATTTGATTTTCTTCTAATCAATTAAGTTCATAACTCTTGGAAACTACCACAAGGAGACTCTTAACTTTTGAATCTCTTGGCTGACCATTCAAGACATCAAAACAGCAGGAAGTGGACAGGCCTACACAAAAAAGCATGATTTTATAAATCCAGAAGTCAGAATTAAAGCCTCTACAGGAAAAAAAGAAAACTGAGTTAAGATGACTCAATTGTTTTTTCCCAATTTTAGACCTGTTTTAATGTTCTTTTTAGCCTTTTCATATAGGTGTTACCCATATTAGCGAAAATGGGCCAATAGACAACTGCACAAGAGCTCGCACTGAAATCTCATAGTGGCACAGCTACACAGAGGTTAAGTGTTCAGGTGGACATCTGTCACTTGTTGTGTGACAGAAACCGCTACAGCTTGCTGGAATCAGCATTAAAGTCTTTGAGAGTTCTACTAGTCTCATCAAAATGCATAAACATACAATTTCCAGTTTCAATTTGTTTGTTTTCCTCTAAAATTAAAGTCACATTTTTGGTCATATTTGTGTCTCAATAAATGAAGAGTTTCAGCATTTTTCAACTGATTTCTCAGTGGAATAAAGGATGTGCAGACACGCAGTAGCTTGTCCCTCATGATCCAGATAATTTTCCCCAACAGTTCTTCAGCAAACATTCTTAAAGTTTTATTCACCTTTATACCAGTCAATATCATACTAATGGCAACTTTATTTAAACAGTTCCTTCCAACTAAGGTATACATGCTTTTGAATCCTACTTATAGTAGAGGAACAGTTTATTAAAAGAATTATATTTGTATTTAAAGATCTTTAATTACAAGTTGCATCTAATATTTACCAATCTGGAAGCTGTAACCAGAACTATTCTTCTATTCATTCACTGCAATTAGATTTCAAATTAACAGCTCTCCTCTAAGCACATATTAAAAAATATTGTAGGGAGGTGTGAACAGTTGCAATTAAACTGCCCAGGTCACTCTTTGTAGGAGTTTTGTTTGAAACTCCTGCTCTGAAATGGGGGGTTTACATTCTAAAAGTTCCTCATACCCAGCAGAGGGCATCAGCTTACTGCAAACCTGACCATGAACTTCTCCTGGTGCACCACTTCAGCAGAGATGCATCCCCAGTTGTCTGAGCAGAAGGGAATTCATTATTTGACGGACTTGGGAATCGAGCCCAGGACAAAAGAGGCATTACCCACATCTGTGAGGCTGAAATATAGCAGAATCAAGTACAAGATTCGCACTTAAAAATAAGAGAAATTTATTTGCTTTTTGGGTTTTATAAAAGCTTCTCACCCAGCTCCCCAACACCTTGCTGGTCGTTAGTTCCTTAAGTAGAGATCAACACAATTTTTATAGATACATTCACAATTTAGTGAACAACAATCATTCATTATGAAACCTTGGTTTAGAGCTTCTACCTGAGCGTTCCCTTAGAAATTCAGTGTTAGGTAGCCAAGAAACCCACTCACAGCAGGGTCCTGACTTTCTAGCAAAACGGGAAACTTTCCAACATCCACACTGGTGCTCCTACCAGCGTGCAACACCACACGTGTCACAGAATCACAGAATGTTGGAGTGGGAAGGGACCTCTGGAGATCATCTGGTCCAACCCTTGCCCAAAGCAGGTTCACCTACAGCAGGTTGCGTCCTGTTCCCCAAACAAACAGGTAAAATACTCCAACAGTATTTTACCAGAATCACTAAAGCCTAGCACAAGCTGTGGTTGACCAGGGCGGGGAAAGACAAGAAGGGCAGCCAGGGATGGGAAAATTTTCCCTGAGTCTCCTACTGTTACTAAGTGGTGAGAAAAGTACCCTAATTCTTCTCTTCTTCCCCCAGCTTCCTTTGGCAGCACTTCACATGTACTCACC